CCCCAAAACCCCAAAACCCCAAAACCCCCGAGAGGGATAAATTTGGTATAAAAGTAATTTAAACTTAACTAAATATACAAACAAATCAAATGCATTAAAGCATCAACAGACAAAACTTAATATATAATAAATAGAAGAGAAAAAGGTTGTAATCCTGAATTCGTCAATTGATCTACATAATTCAGCTTTTAATCTCGTTGTTTTAAATCCATCGAACTCTTTTCCCTTCCTTCCATTCTCCTTTTTTACCCTCACCTTTGATATTGTAATACATCCCCTAGCCGTGCTACTTTCCATTGTGCCAGTTGCCTTCGTATCTCCTGCCATCAGGCCAGTGAAATGCTCCATAACCCTCCTTCTTGTCATCAAGGTACTCACCATTGTACTGCCTGCCATCAGACCAACTAAATAGCCCAGTGCCATGCATCTTATTGTTAACCCAGTCACCTTCGTACTATCTCTTATCAGACCAAACGTAAAGGCCCTTACCATGAATGTTATTATCTAAAAATTAACCCTCATAAGTTGATCCATCAGCCCAGTGGAATTTACCTATGCCATCCTTTTTACCATCAATGTAATCTCCAGTATAGCTAGCTCCATCAGGCCAAGTTTCAGTGCCTTTTCCATGTTATTTGTCTTCTTTCCACTAACCCTCGTATCTAGCCCCATCAGTATGATAATATTTGCCTACACCATGAGCTTTATCATCTTTCCATTCTCCCTCGTAAACATCCCCATCAGCATGAATAAGCCTGCCTTTACCATTTGCTTTGTTATTCTTCCAATAGCCCTCATATGTAGATCCATCTGACCATATCTGAATACCCTTTCCATCTCTCACATCTTCTTTTACATCCCATTCACCTTCATACTTTGCTCCATTCTCAAGCACCTACATTTTTCTATATTCCCTCTTTACATTGTCATTATTTTTTGGCAATGGGTTAAAATTGTAGGGACCTAATCTCTCCTTGATAGACTATACTAGAGGATTATCATAGTCAGGGTATTGAGAGTAATACCCTTAGTTATCGCCGGGCATCTTTGGTCTGAAACTAAAACCATATCTCTATCTCACCTTTTTCCTTGCCAATGATCCCCTAATAAATGACTATAATCTCACAATAATCTTTATTATATCTTTAGTCTAAGACTAATTCAGGTTCATATTTGCCAGCGAGAAGTCTTTCTTTTTGTTTTTTTCATAGTTCATGTCGGATAGATTTCTCTACATGCTCATTTCCTTGTCTTTCTCAGATTCGACTGTACAACAATTTCCCATTTAACGTTTTTATTTAAAGGATTTAAAATCTTTATTTAAGCAACAATCAAGGATGTCAATTTATTAATAATTTTAGGTTAACTCTGTTTTAAAGAGATCTCTTAACTATTGGATATTATAATTAAATATTAAGTTTGGAATAGTTTAAGATGAACAATAAGGGAAATTACGGTACAAACATTTTAAAGTTTATTCATCCTTTACAATAGAGAAATTTAAGAGATCCTTGAAAGAAGTAATTGATTCATTTGAGAGAGCAAAAGAATGGGCTGACTTAAGTAATTGCCTTCAAAAGGTGAAGAAGCAATTCGATCAGAATTAAAACACAGAGATACCCATGAAAAAGGATCTTGCTAAAAGATTAGGTAATACTCTCTCACTTCATTAGAAAAAGAGTTATCTAATCTTAATATTTATAGCTCAGTGCTTAAACCCCGATCTAGCTGTGATCCATTAACTAACTTTAGAGGTTTATGGAATGATCTTCTAAAGATAGATTGTAAGTAGATAGTTTCAGAAAAATTTAATAAGAATTTGCGTCATTAATAGTGACTATCCTGATGAGATTTTTCCTAATTTGAATAATTTTTGGAGTCAACATATTTTGACTCAATTCTTTTTTCGCGATCATTAGCTTAATTTACCTTAATGTAGGAGTTACTGAAGCAAAAAGCGAATGAAGGACCCAACAAGCAAGATTTGGAGTGGGGTTCAGACTTAGGACTCTTCTACTCTGGTCTATTCAACTTCTTCCAGTTTGCCGCCTTCGAAGTCAAGGATCCATTCCTTCAAATTATTGAGACTTACATCCTTCAGTTAGACAAAGAGCTGCTTTTATCCCTTCCTGGTTTTATGATATGCATGCTGCCAGCTTTGGAAGACTAAAATGCTTAGATACTAAAGAGAGTTGAGAACATCCTAGCCAAAACTGAAGAAGCTGTAGGCACCAGTGAGTTCTACGGAGAAATTTGGAAGGCCATGCTCAGAACTCAGAGGACCAGAGTATCTGCTATCAAGTACCTCGACAAGAGAATCCCCAAGGATCTCGAGCAAGCAAGACTTATGGCCAAGCAGCAGCTTATCTACCCATCAAAGTACACAGTCAAGGTCATTGACCAGAAAGTAACCCTAGTCAGAGATGATGCACAGAGACTCAGTGATGAAAGCAAAAGACTGGAGAGAATGACTCTTGAAGACTACTTCTACTTCTATTATCCAGTCAAGGAAAAGCTTTGCATCAACTCACTCCTAGCTGGCTTAGCTGATCAATCAGTCTATGTCAACAGAGGTGTCCTAGATTTCCTGATTTCTCATGCTCCAATCACAGGAAACATTAATACTCTATCAGAAAATGTAAGATTAGTCGAGGGAGCCTTGATGACTCTAACCAAGAAAGACTTTGCTTTTCTAAAGAAGTTTTTCACTTGGACTCTATCCCACTTAGAAGATGAAGAGTCAAAACCATCAGAAGATGATCCAGCAATAAGAACTCTTGTTCCAGCACTTTAGTGTATGTTCCTAAAGTTTACTGATGCTAAAAGCGTCAGTTTATCACATATGTAACAGCATTCCTCAGGCTAAGGTGGCTAGAACAGCAACTAACTCAATCATAACTAGCCCATTCTGATTCTTCAGACTCTTCTCAATGATAATGTAATGATTGTAGAACCCATTCTTGTTAAGATTTCAGTCGATTTAATCAAATTCATTAAGCTTTACTACTCCGAAAACTAAAACAAAACAGCAACTAAACAGCTAGACAGATTCATAGATAACGTCAACAATCTGTTTGATATGGTTAATAATCAACTTCATAGTATTTGGATGGCTCTCGGTCAACTCTTGTCTGAATAGATAAGATCAATATCTGTTGAATATGCCTAAGATGCCTACCTGCTAGAGGCTATTGAGCTTATCGACTTCTGTCTAAGAGACTTAAAACTTGGATTCGAAAGACAAGTAGAAAACTTTAGTGAGCAGTTGAGACCTATCTTGAGCAGACTTCTTTCTGGAGTAAGCAAACTAAGTAACTACATGAATAACTTGGAGAATGCCATCCCAGGTCTTGAGCTAATTGAGTCCATTTTGATTATGCTTGACAACAAACCAGTTACAAGAGAGGACACTGAAAATTTGAAGACCAGTGTGGACAACTTCAACGAGTTCTATGTAAACCTGTGCAAAGTAATGACCAACTTTGACGAGCCAGACTACCAGGATATGTTCAAACTGAGATTCGACACATTTAAGAAGAGCAGTTAGATTCTGAATCAGATTCAAAAGTATTCCTATACATTTGACTTGAATAACATGCCAGCATGGCTTACAATGGTCATTCACTGTTCTAAGGCAAAGAGAGCTAAGATAGTGCTAGTGTCAATTGAGACATTCCTCAATATTCTCTCTAAGTAAGCATCAGGTCCAGATGATCAAATAAAGAAGCTTCAAAATATCATAGTCAGATTTGAACCTGGTCTTAAGGTAGACGATTCCAGAAGTATTTATCAGACTCTTTAGGAATCAAATAACCCCTACTGCACAGATATTATCAAGACACTTTGGTCACTTTTAGATGAGGAGGAAGATCACTAAAAGATTGTCCAGCTACTTAAGAAGTTCGACGGCCTTCTACCTAGGCTTTTCTCAGAGGTAGTCATTGAGGAACTAAACTCCAAAGACCGTGAAATAAAAGTCAGGGCCATTAAGAAATTCACAATCTTCTGGAAGCTTACTGCCACCGATTACCCACAGTACAAGCCCTTCTATGATAAGAATACAGATCTAAGAAAGCAAGTAGCTTTGCACAATATGCTGCACATATTAGAAGATAATGACCCTACTCTTCGTCTATCTTGTAAGAGTTGGTTATCGGAGAGCAAGAAGTACTACAGAAGAATTTTAGATCCTTTAATAGAAGAATTCCTGCAAAACTCCAAGATCTTCATAACATACTCAGGTCAGATATTCTTCTACAAGGACTACGAAGCTAACATTGTAATCGAGAACTTCGGTAAGTTGAGAAATATCATATTGAATACTCAGGAGGAGATGATTTACTATATCACAACTAGACAGTATACTGACTATATTGGCAAAGAGTTCCTAGAGATGTTCTCCTGGATGCGCCCAAGAAGACCCAACCTAAAGTGCTAGAGGCTTTATCTTCAAGTCATTGTCTACATCACACTGCAGTTCATTATGGCTTAAGCAGTCGAGTCAGTGAATGAGAAACCTTACTTGTATCAGGAAAGCTAGACTGTAAATGCCTCAGCTTGTGAGTTCATGGAACTAATTCTAAAGAGCTTAGAGTAAAATAAGGAAATGTCAAATGAGATCGCTCACATAATCATTGACCCAATTATCAGAACATTCAGACAAGTTATTGACAACCAAAATCATGCTATGCAGGTACATTTGCTAAATTTGTTGAAGGTCATATTCTTCCAATGCAACTTTGACTCACCAGAATCTCAAAAGGACTAATTTACGCAGACAGAGTGCAGCAGAATTTTCAGTGATGCCTCATTCATAGACTCAATAGTAAAAGGCATGAAAAACGAGGTGTCCTTCGTAAGATACCATTTCATTCAGTTTGCAACGACAATAGTGCCCTTCATGTTGAAGCTTATCAACCCATAGGTGTTTAACTCCCACATTAAGAAATTCGTAGACTGCTTCTGCGGTCTCCTTAGGAACGTAGATCCCTCACTCTTCATCACTCAGCAGTAATTCCTTGGCACAGCTGCTCTTGGCATTGGTGGGTATGCTGGTGATAACGTAGATAAGGCTATAAGACTCACAAGCACAAACATGAGACTTAAGACCTCAGTTGCTGTCAAGCAATAGACTTTGATTAATCACAACATTCAAGGAGGTGCTGCTAAACCGAAAGACTAGCTAGTTATCAACTAAGAAAGTGATATCTCATAGATTATTCAAGGCCTTGAATAGATCGTCTATTACTGTTTGGGAATTGTTAGAGATTTATAAGCAAAGCCCCAAGCTTCATCTTAGACAAGTGGAATTCTAATGGATGACAGAGACAATTCAGAAAACTAAAAGGAGAAAGAACTTACCTTTGGTGAGAGACTCTTAGGGTACTTCGGCACTGGTCCCTTCAAGAAAGGTGCTGAGTTCACTGTTACAAATGAAAATACTGCAATTAGAGAGCCTATCTACAAGGAATTCCAGAACATCATTGTCAGTTGCCTCTACTGCTGGAATAATCTGCCCATCTTCACAGCGAAGGATTACCTATTCTCAAGGTCTGGTATCTTCCCCTACAATATGGAGGACGAGAAACTGCTTTCCTCATCTATTGAGAAATCTGAGTAAAAAGAAACTCTTCAGAACTATATCAACTCGAAAGCTAATCTGATTCACAAATTCGTCATAGACTTCCTGAGACCCCTAGCATAGACTTCTTCACCCTACTTCATTGAAGGTATTTTGTTTGTTTGGATGGATAAGAAGAACCTGACTGGAATGAACTTAAATTAGAGTCTCGAGAAGATGATGCAAATACTAATCTCAGTGAGACTAAGCACTCATGTTGTGATAGAAGCTATTAATCTTTTCGTCCAAAAGAATGATCTAGCAACAAAGAAGCCCTCTTCTAAAAAGATAGTCAAGCTTTAAAAGATTGATAGTCAGAGAGAGTCTATGATATGCTAATTCCTGTATACCTACTTACTTTACAACATAAACCAGCAATTCAAAGATGAGCAAAACCAGCTAGCTAAGATCTATGCAGCAGTCTTTAAATTTATCAAGCAGTTCCAGCAGACCAAGCACCCTCTTACTATTTGCTGGCTTCTAGAAATTCTTCACATCCTAAGTAACAAGTTCACAGCGAGTGACGCCTACAAACAAGAAACCAAGTTAAAGAGAGACTTCCAAGAGATGCTTACTCTTCTACTTACTAGCACTGCATCTATACTCTCAGACACTTTCAAGATTGAATTCGAACAGTCTTATGGCTTCAAGATAGTGTTCTCTCCCACAGTCTATGAATTGCTCAGAAGGTTTAGTTTTGTGCTGGAGCAGAATAACGTGAACGTGAACTCATCAATGGCTGTTAGGAATGAATACAAAAAGAAATTCGCCAATCCGAACTATCACCCTGATTCTGACGATGAGGAATAAGAGGAAACTAAAGGAGATGCAGGGCTGAGACAATTTGGATTTAACAACAAGGTTAGGATGACAATAGGTTCAAATCAGAATCCAGTGAACGTAGATCATTTATTTGACCCAGACTATTAGAACCACAACTACTACTATGACGAGAGAGACAACATCTCCTAGCTTATGATAGATCTGTCTTAGTACATAAACAAGGGTGAAAGTGACTGTCCTTCTTTCCTGCTTTTACACTACTACAAGTTCTTTACCATCATCACTCTTAAATCTATCCTCTACCATATGGTGCAAAGCATCTGCTTACACTCTAATCACGACAAAATCACAGCTGCACTTTCAATAGTTGTCAATGTGGTACTCCAGATCCTGAGTAACAAGACTGACAAGGATAAGTTAGACAAGCAACAAGTAGTCATTAGAGAAGCAATCACAGATTTCTTTGCTACAATCATGGATAGAGCGAATTAGCTGCTAGTCAAGCCGTACAAGAGAGAAATATCTGAGCTGTTCTATTCAGATAATTTCTTCTAGATGTCCAGGAGAACTCTCAGAAAGTGGTGCAAGATCATCAATCACTTTATCTTAGACTAGAAAGATCAGGTCTTCGAAGACTTAGTATATAAGTGGAATACACAGGCGGGGCTGCTTACGAGTAAAGATTTCGAAATAAAACAGAAGTGCATTGCTCTTAAGAGAGTCGCGTTCCTTGTCTTCTCAGGTGACCAAGACTAATATGATGACAAACTAGATTTGCTACTTAAAAAGATGACAGAGGGATTCAAGACAAACAAGAAATACAGCGAACTTAGAATCCAACTTTTCTTGCTAACCAGAGTCTTGCTACTCAGACTGCACTCAAACTCATTAGCAGATGCTCTAAGAAAACTCTGGCCTCATTTACTGAATGAGCTAGTCAGCATTTTCGAAGATGCTCAATCAGACTGTGCTTTGACATTTGAAGCTATAAAGACAATCGAGCTGATGTCTTCTTTGAATATTGAGGATTTCTAGATGAACCAGTGGATATTCTTGGTGGACTCTTATGGAATGGCATTTGACGATTCAAGATCATTGGTTGATGAATATAGACATAGACATGATAGTGCTTAGATTAGCAAGAAGGCAGGGGACTACGAGGTGATTGAGAGATCAGAGGGCATTTTCTAGCCATTCATAGTCAAATTCATGCAAAACAGAAAGACAAGTTTCTACAACTAGATAAACAACGACAAAGTCACTGTTGAAGACCTGCTCAATGGCAAGAAGAACCAGATTGAGATGAGAAAGACAAGCATCAACATTTCACCTGAGAACTACTCAGATGATGCCCTAGAGACTTATGCGATTGGTCTTCAATATAGACTAAATGAATTTAACATGGAAAGAACAGAAATTGATAGACCAAACTTTGAAGCCTTAATTGAAAAAGATTTCATTCAAAACGACCAGAAATGAGATGATTAATAGAGATCGCATCTACATCACATCATCGAACAAGATTGAAATAAGCATAATATCATTAGATTCGAGAAATTATTGATGATAATAACTTAATATTCAATCTTAATTTCATAAATCTTCAAACCCCTAAATCGACCTTTGAAATAATTATTTCACTATAGCTTTTGGCGTATAATTAAATATTTACCTTTAATTTTATATTTGTTTAAAATGGATAAAAGACCAAACTATTATCTTAAGAATCTTGCATTCTAAATGTCTTAATGTACTGGATAGGTAAGCTAAATACCATCGAAATGAAAATTTAATAATAGGCCTAGACTTATGCTATTTGTGTTAGTTAAAAAGGTATAAATGTAAATATGAATGAGTGCTAAAAAGAATTCAGTTCCCTAATGACATGCATGGGTAGAAAAATCAGAACAAAAAAGTGATTAGCCCTTAGAATGAATATTTCCCACTGATTTTATTTATATATTTAATTTTGATTTACAAATTGTACAATTTTTCAATTTATATACTAGCGGGGTTTTGGGGTTTTGGGGTTTTGGGG